CACTGGTTCCACCACAGCAGCCAAAGGCAGGGCTGTGGCTCTGGACTCCAGTTTCCTCTGACTGAAGGAGGCCACAGGGTTTGTTCTGCTGCTGGGGCAGCTAAAACACCCTCGCTGTGCATTGTTGGTGTCTCTCCACATCTCTTGTTATTTCCAAACCAGAAAAGGTCACAGAGACCCAGGAGAAACCCACTTCCCTCCTTCACTGAACTCCTCTTTCTGCCTCACACATGATTCTGTTGCCATCTCTCTCTTGCCAAAGGCAGGAACAAACACTGGGGTTTGGCAGGGCTCAAAGCCTTGGCTTGTTGGATGGGAAAGAGGCATTCTTGGTCCTCAGCCCGGGGACAGGGCTCTGCTCCATGTCCACTGCCAGGTTCTCCAGCTGCAATTTTGGTGCTTATCCCATGCTGAGAGGACTGCTCTTATGTGCCTGGGGATGGGCAGCACCCCTGGGTGTTGTGTTGGGCTGGGAATCCTGCAGGAGATCCATGGAAAGTGGGTGGGAATAGCTGGAGCAGGACCCAGAGCTACGTGAACCCCAGCATGTTGCTGTGGCTGATCCACACCTACAGCTGGAAGAGCAGGAGTTGACGCTGCCTTGAGAGGCTTTTTCCCAAATATTTGTGAGGGCAGGGAAAGGCAGAGGGAGGCCACATCAAGTCAGGCTGTCTCTGTTTTGTTAGGGCTGTTATTGCCAACAGTTGCCCCCAATGAGACTGCAGGGCTTAAGCTGGGGAGGGATCCTGTAGCTCAGAGGTAGCTGGGAAGGCACTTGGCAGCTATTGCTGTTTCAGTGGCAGGCACTGGACTTTTCCTGGTGCTCAGGAGAACTGGGATGACAGCCTGGATCAGAGAGGGCAAAGCTGGACAGATGAGAGATGGTCATAGCTGCTGCTTCTAACAGAAGTATGCTGTGGAGCAACAGCAGGGCCTGATTTCAGAGACGTGCCTGAGGTCTCGGCACACGCTGGTCGCCCCAGAAACCTCCTACTCAGTTTTCTGCTCCGCGCAGTTCAACCTCAGAAAGCACAGGGGTTTGTTTGAGCTCAAGGCAACCCACAGATCAGAGCAGCCCCAGAGAGGGAAGGGGGTTTCTCATGGTGGTGGAGGGGCGAGGGAAAGGAGGAATTTCCTGGCTGCAGAAAAGGTGGGCTCTGCTTGAAGAGAAGTTGGAGAGAAAGGGCTTGTGGTCATGGCACCAGGCAGAGGGAAGGAAGGGGTGGGTCAGCAGCAAAGCCTGGCAGAACAAACCCTGTTTACCTTTCTGTGCTGGCCCAGGAATGAAGGGCACACCAAACTGCAGCTTCCCATTCCCTATTCCCACCTTGTTCTGAACACAGCCCTGGGCTGAAGCAGGATGAGGGCAGGGGCATGGCACCCGAGGGTCAGGCAGGGGAAGGATCTCACCTGAGACAAGGGAACCCTGATCAAGTTGATTTTCACAGTGAGAGGCTCACACACTTCCCACCTGGGTAGTGCTGGCTCAGCCCTCTGGAAAATGACAGAGGTTTTCCCTGCTGTGGGGCCAGTGCTGGGAGCACTGTGCTGCTCTCCAGTCCTGGCTGCAGATGGGAGGTGCTGCTGGCAGGGCCAGGATCACTCTTCTTTCCCCTTTTTGCAGCTGTTGCTGGTTATGAAAATGGGAGCGTTCCCCAGGCAGTTCTTGGCAAGAACTGCCTTTTCCAGGGCTGACCTCATGGGCTGTTTCTTCCCCTTCCCACCCCCTGATGGTAGATCTACATATGTTCTAGTCTTGGTGAAGCACTGGCCTTCCCTGCTCCTCTTCCTCACATGGCACAGAGGAGAGGCCTGTGGCTTTGGGCTGTGAAGGGGGAATGGTAGTTCCTTGGCCTGAGATCAACACAAACTCTTGAGTCAATTCTCTACCCAAAGCACAGAGAGAAATAAGAAACACTGGGATCAGTCCTGCTGGGGGGATTTATACCCCAAGCTGAAAACCTTGTTTCTAGCACAGAAACCCAGCCACTGTCCCCTCTCCCCACAGCACATGATGGAGGTCACACCATGCAGGAAAGTAGCAGGGACATCACAGCACCTTGCAGGAAATTAATTCTTCTCATATCTGATGCAGACCCCAAGGGAGTGTCCACAGCATGGACTAGGGAGCACTGGATAAAGCTTAGTGAAGACAGGAAGGAGGAAGCAGGACTTTTGTAACTGGGAGCTGGGAGCTGTGAGTATCCAGAGCTTAGCAAGATTTGTGATGGAGTCAAGCATCTCCGTAGGCAGCAAGACTGGGCAGAAGTTACTCCCAGTGATGGTTGCAGCTGGGTAGGAAACCCTGGGGTTCAGATCTTAAGCCAGTTTTTAAGAGAAAAGTGCAGAAACAGCAGGAAAGGGAAATGATTCCAGCCCAGCTGACTTGCACCATCCTCACAGCAGCCAGTGTTGGCTACTCAGAGGACACTGATGGTACAGAAGGGGGTGGATTCAGGCCACATCCCACCCAGCAGGCTGAGAGTTCCTGAGAAACCCAACTGGTGCAACTGAGCTAATTCAGAAAGAAGTTGTCTGGCTAATGCCAAGGGCAGCCCGGATAACTCCTTCCACTCTATCTTCCACTTTTTGTTGTGTGGGTGAGGCAGAAAGCTGAAAATTCCCCACTGGATTTTGGGACCCCAGGCAGAGGTCAGGAACCACCCTGAGTAACAGCTGAGTGTGTCAGCACCCACCTCTCACCCTCACTTCCCTCCCTGACTCCCAGCAGCACACAAGCACAGAATTTCCTTGCTCTTTATTTCAGAGCTCAGGGAAAATTTCTGCCACCAGCATTGAGTTAAATAAAAAGCTGGTAAATTCAGGAGGAAATGTGGCTTCATGCAAGGCACTAACCTTTGGAATTGCTTTGAGAGGTGGTTAAGTCAAAATGGCAATGGGCTTGGAAATATCCTGGTGGTTTTATGACCTTTAATGATGTCTGTACTTCTGTACCCAGACAAGGGTCACCAGGCTGCTCCAAGACATGATCAGATTCCCTCAGAGGGAGAAGGAAAGAATTCTCTTCCTGTCCTGGTGTGATTGCCATTGCCTTGCTTCTGTAAAGCACAGGAATTATCCCAGGCTGGAGAGCTAAGCACACCACATGGCCTGTTCACATGAAGCCCACTTTGATATGAGGATGTTCTCCTGTCACAGCACTTCTGGAGGTACCAAGGTGGTGCCTTGGAAAGTTTATCTCCCAGACTGAGTGTTGCTCAGAGGAAAAAAGTACCACCTCTTTGTTTAAGCCCCATGTTGAAGTTCTCCCAGATGGTCCTGAAGAGACCTGAGAGGTTCAGGTCTTTCTCCACAACAGCAGTGACCTCCTGGCAAGTGAGGGACTGTTTCTCTTCCCCTGCCCAGATGAAAACAGTACCTTTCATTTTTCTTACTTTTACTGTCCCCAGTTCTAGTGCAGGGCTGTGAAGGTTGGGTGGTGGCCCTAAGAGGGTGTCATATCACAGTGACCTTCCCATGGTCATTGCTGAAGGGGGTTGAGGTAAGGAGAGGCCTTGATGAGGGCACTTGATGCTGTTGTCCTTGGAACTTCCACCAAGACCTTTCTCTTCCCAGGTGTTAACTAGTGCTGGGCTCAGGGCTCAAAACCTTCAAAGCCAGCAGGGCTTCAGCCACCACCTGCTCCTGCCAGCAGGTCCTCCTGGTGCTCAGTTCACTGGAGCCTCTTCCCATTAGCAGGTCACTGCGACCAGTGGATTAGAGCCTGGCAACAGGGACACTGACACATGCAAGCCCTGAAACTGCAGAGCCTGCTCCACTACACAGCAAAATAGGTCGTGCATCAGCAAATGAAAAAGGACAGATGGTGTCTGCTAATACAGCTTAGTTTATGGCCTGCAAGATTAACTCACGAGTTGTCATGTCTGCAGAAAATAGGAAATGGGTGGGTCGGCTGTAGGAAACGTGTGGTGGGCCCAGCCCTACCTGTCTGTGGGATGCAGCAGCTGGAAAGGATGTCTGAGATGCTGTGAGCTTTTGAGATGCTGCTGAAGGGCTGCTGGGGTCTCTTTGTGGGTCTGGGCACTGGAGCTGGTGCATTGCCCCAGGTCCTCCCTTCCAGCTCTGGTTCCCATACTCCTGCTGTAGGGGGAAAGCTGCTAAGGAATGCAAGGACCTCCAGCAGAGACAGGGAGACTGGTTGTGGTGTGTGCACCATCAGCAGCCTTGCAGAAGCCCACAGCTTCCTGTCCTGTGTCACCTGCAGGACAGCCTCCAGTTCAAGCTGCTGAACTCCCAAGCACCCATGTGTCTGCAGGAGTGAGACAGAAAGCTGAGGCAGAAGCCCCAGGTCCTTTCGATGCCTTCTCTGTGACACACTGTTCTCCTTTCCTGGAAACCAGGCCAGTGCCTCACTCTGTTCTCCTTGAAGAAATCAAGCCCTGTGCCAGTGCTCCAGCTTCTCTCCATCTGCTCTCTTGAGGGCAGAACAAACCCTTCCTCAGTCCTCCACAAATGGTCCTCCTGAAGATTTCACCTTGATCCTTCCCCACTGAGTCCCCAGCCACTGCCACCTCAGGCAGCTGCCTGTTGCTATCAGAGGTGTCTGTCACCCCCACCTTCTTCTAGCCACAACCAGGCTCTGGGGTTTTCTCCAGTGACTAATTTGCTTGTGTTTATGCCAAGGCCAAACACATAATTGTCTGTTTAACAACTTGGGTGAGGAGAGAGTCTGGCTGCTTCCTTGTACTGTAGGGATCAGACCTGCACCTTCCTGCTGGCAGCTCCATAAAGTTATAAATCCCTGTCGTTAAGGAGAGCAGGTCACCAGTAAGAGTGACTTGAGAGTGGAGGTCATTGTCACTTCTGTCCCCAAAGCTGTAGAGTGGGTGTGCAGGGCAGCAGGTGTAGAAAGAAATCAGAACAGCTTGTGCTTTTATTACAAAAGGAAAAGCTTCTTTTGTGGAGGGGAGAAGCACGTCAGATTACTGTTACTAGGAAGTGCTTTACACTCTTTACCTTAACGTCAGTGCTGAAGTAAGATGGTCATTCTCTCTGTGTCCCTGTTTGGGGTCCCCTTTGGATGCCTGGTTGTCAGGGCCAAGCCCGTGTCCCTCCTGGCTGGCAGAGCCCTGGAGGAGACAGGATGGTGAGCTCTATGGACATGCCAGCATCCAAGTTCTTCCCCCTCAAAATTTCCCCACCTCCCACCTCTTTTATCAGCTGCTGACAAGACTTTCCACGTGTGTAGGCAGCTCCCAAGCTTATAACATGATTCCCTGCTCCACCCACCTCTATCCAAGATTTCAAGGAGGGGGAGCACAGCATTCCCCAGTCTGCAGGCCTCTTCTGCCAGGGATGAGCGATGCTTTCAGAGAGCTCCATGTGGGAACTCTTTCAGCATCTTCCCCAGAAAGTCACAGCAGGGAATGGAAGATTGCTGTGCTGTGTGTGAGCGTGTTGGGAGGGAGCAGAGTGGGATGGGAAGATGGAGGGGAGAGGGGGTGTAACCACAGAGTAAACCAGAACAATCCTCTTGGAAGAGCCTTGAATTTCTGATCCCAGGGCTCCCATCTCCTGCTTTTTGCTCTTCACTTAAAAGAATGTCAGTCCTTGTTTCGCCCAGCAGAGAAAAAGGGAGTTGAGCAGAATCATCTTTCCCTTCCCTGAACACATCTCGGGGGACCACGAGAGGCAAACAGAACATGAACTAACTAGATCAACCCAGAAAGATTTGCACGCTGGGGAGAGCCCTCCCCAGCCACTGGTGTCTTCCCTGGAGACACATAAACGGCCGTTAATGACATCTCCATCTGAGAGATGATCAGAGTGCATGTCATTACAACCCAGTGCTTCCCCAGGGCCCAGGCAGAGGATGACCCCAGTGAGCTCCAGCCCTTGAACACACAGCTGCTACCTCATGAATGCAAAGCATCCCTCACCACAGATCTCAAAGCTCTCAGGCTTAAGCTTCACTGAACCCCTCTGACAGACCAAGATTGCCATCCCTGCTGGGCACATAGGGAGCTGGGGCCCGGAGAGGAGGAATTAAGGGAGGCCCACATACTCCTGAGATGAATCTTCAGGGCAGGGAGATGGGACAAGACTCCCTCCCTGCACATCTGAGAGGTTTAAAACTACCTTTGTGCTACTTGGGTCTGTCTGTCTCTCTCACCTTCATCTCGATGCTGTGACCACATGTAGCAACCTCTGGGGTTAGTCTGAAAGGTGTCACAGCAGGTGCCTGGCTGTGCCCTGTGAGAGGTCCTTGGGGACAGACCCTGAAGACTGATATCCTCATTTTGGAACTGGTGAATTCTGATGTTTCTGGATCCCCTTAAGAACCCTGGGTGTCCCACCCAAGCAGGACCAAAGGTCTCAACCTGCTGAGACCAGAGCTGAGTCATTCCCAAGTGCCCCTGTCTGGCAACAAGGAAGAATTCCTGGTGTAAAACTGTTCCTCTCTTTCCCCCATTTCATCGTGTCTGTGGCCATTTCAGAAAGCAGCAACATGAACTGGATTCTCTCTAAACTCCATCTGCTCTGCAACACAACCTGTGACCCATGAACAAACTGCCCAGCCCTGTCTGGCTAGAGAGAGAAAAACCCTGAGGAGACCCACGCACTTCTGCAGAAAACGGTGTGTTCCAGGGAAGGGTTCACACCTCGGTGCCAGAATGACCTGGAGGTTCTTTGTCTGTCCCAAAATAGCTGTTTCAACACCTCCCTGTGTCCTGCAGACCAGGCACAAGAGCAACAGGCAGTTCTTTACCATACCTGTGCCAGCTGGGTAACCAGGAAAGGGGAGGCTGGCTAAGGGGAGGTGGAAGGAGCTGGAGTTTCTTTTTCATCAGATGCAAACCCAAGCTGGTGTGCCTGCCAGCACCCCACCACAGCAATATTGCCAGCCATGGCACACCCCAGTTCCCTCCATGCAAATCCTCCCAGTCTGAGAGCTGGGTTTCACAATCCCTTCCCGGCAGCCAGCCTCTGCTTTCAGTCTCTGAATTACGAAGGGGAGTTTTCATTACATCACCACAGGCTCTTCCTCCTTGCAGCCAGTGACAGAGCTGTCATTCTGCTTTGTGGGGGGGTTTTGAGGTGTGTGGGTGGCTGGGGTAATTCTCTGGAAAACGGCTCTGTGCTTCCCAAAGGCAGGTTCAGGCCAGCCCAACCTCCCTGGCTGCTCCAGCCAGGCTGGGAACAGCATTGGGCAGAGTGGGTTGGCTCCAGCTGGTGCCTGGACAAAGCAAGTCCTGCACTGCTGCTGGAAGCTTTCCTGGGAGATACAGCATTTTCAGGCTGTTTTAAAAGCTGCCTGAGCCAAATCCTGCCCTGATTGAAGCAGCAGGGTTGGCAGTCAGCAGTCTGCCAGCTTTTTGCCAGCGTAAGCAAGAGCAAATTTCCCTATCAGAGTTGAGATTTGCAGAGCACCTCACTGAAGCATTTGAATTCTCCTCCCTCCCAATTGTTATTCGTATTTTTTTCCTGTTTATCTATTCAAATTTCCCTCAGTTTAACGGTCAGACTGGTGACTGTTTCCCTGCAATCCCAGGGAGGGGCTGAGCTGATCTCACTCCCAATCCGGTGACTTTCCAACCTCCTTTCCCTGGCAGCCTGTTTCCCTGCCCTCTCCTTCCCAGCACCACATCCTGGCTGGCTTTCTATTTCTTTCCCCAGTTTGAATCAAAACAAACTACTGGGTTCAAACTGCTCCCTCATCAGGAACGTGCTGAGCTGGAGTCTCTGCTCCTGGCAAGGGCTGTGGAAACTCACCACAGAGAAACACCTCAGCCCTGGAGAACTTGTTTCCAAGTAGATGGTATGTCTGGACCACGGCAGGATCAGGACAGTTAGGAGTCTATATCTGAGCTCCAGAAAAGCACTGAGTTCCCTTAAAACATACAAAGAGGTCTGTGCAGCTCAGGAGCAGGGAAGATGGCTCTGAAGTCTGGATTTACCCTGGCCTTCCTCAGCCCTGTTTGTATCATGGCTCCTCATACAAGGGGATGAAGAGTCATTTCTGCCCCATCAGCACGTTCAGAGCTGATGCCTTTCCCAAGCACTCCAGATGGTTTTGCTCTCTGTCTCTCTGTGTTTGCACTACTGGTAACTCAGGCCTGTCTCACATTTTAGCTTTTGAGATCAAACCTTCCCACAATTAGTTCCAGCCCGTGCTCTTGCGCTGCAGAGGACGTAGGGCTGAGCTGTGAGAGCTGTCTGGGAGATCCATCCCACACACAAGTCCTGCTCAGGTTTCTCTATTTCAGTCAGGAGTGTGATTTTTCTACTGAAATCATCAAACCAAGACAGTGTCTGCTACAGATGGGTAGTGAGAGCCATTTAAAGATGCCTCATGCCTGACCCGTCTCAGACAGGAATAACTAATTGCAATACAATCTTGTTTTACACCAGTACAACATCTCTCCTTCCTTTCTCTGGCTTTCCTTTCCCACTAGTGAAACAGGGAGAGGATCTTTTCATCTATCAGGATACACCAGGAACTCCACACCAGAAGTATCAGAGAAATGCTAAGTATCTTCATGCTTGTCCATGGACCTGCCAGAGACCAAACCTCAGCAGCTCACACTGCTCAGGGGCTCTGCAGGCACCCTGGGAGTATCTCTGCCTCTCCTGGAGCAGAACTGTTTGGCTCCCTCACTAAATCAGCTTGCTGATAACAGCCTGCTTGATCCCAGGCAGGAATTTAATACTCTGAGGCCAATCCTAAGTGTGGTCCAGAACTTCCAGCTGGGCCAAAGCCATGTGTGCTGTGGCAGGGATGCTGGGGCACAGCAGAGGGGAGGGAGAGCTGGCAAATGTCTGGGGGTTGTAGG